GTTACAGGAAATAGAAATTACAGAATAGGAATAGTCAGATGCGGATACACCACTTATAATGAGAATAGCCTATCAAAAAGTTCTCACAGGAGCTTTAAATTTTCAACCATAATAATATTGTCTATGAACCTAACAGAGGAAATAGCCTCTTTGAGTGGCAATTAGATGTTTCCCACTTCTTTTTAATCATACAATCTCCCTGGACAATCAAAGGAGAAACTCAAACAGATTGCTGCTTGCTGATAATGACCGAGCTTCTGACTATAATTATAAACATGAAAGGTGAGTGATATCGACCTGAAGCTACTTTTTAAAACTCACCATCAGTGTGCGCAGTGAGCAGGGAAAACTTTAAGTCCGACCCCTGCTTGGACACATTCAACGAGCTGACGAGAAACCTTCCTGAAAATGTCTGGAAAGTGTGAACTTACATTACCTCAGCAGTGATGGGAAGCAACTTATTAATAAGATCTGGGCTGAACAGTGAACTACTCAACTTAGCACATCACATCAAACAGTTTAATTCATGCCATAGATCTGGAAAATATTCTCTTTGAGCTGCAGGCTTTTGAAAACTACAGCAGGGTTATATGTGAAGATTAATTTGATTTTCTTTAGGCACTTATGTACAGGTAGACAATGCATCCTCTTCTGCACAGCGAAATGAAATGGTTAAAGGGTTTCAGCGACAAACATGGAAATAATTTTTTGATTAAATTAGTTCAAACATTTTTCAGCACCTGCAAGTCATTTCAGGCAGGTAACTCGAGCTGCCGTGGTTTCACACTTGACATGCGTAATTTTTGCAATCACCCTACAAACGCACCCTCCCAATTTGGCAGACTATCTGAGCCGCAAGATTTCAGGTCACTGCCTCTGCCCTGGCGTTGCCACCCTGAATAAGTGCTGCACTCAAACTTTCAGCCCCACCGCCCCCCGCCCCCAGCATCCACCTTCAGGCTTCTGCTGAGGGTTTAAAAAACTGTCTCATCACTCCTAAATCTTTGCAACAAACACAAACTTCTTTTGCGGCAATTAACACTTCAAACCATTACAACTGAAGCTGGCTGACTTTGACTGATTTAATTTTGTCGTACTTTCAGTCGACACTTTTCATAAAACTGAAGGACACTGTACAATGCAGAAAAACAATACAGACACTTATCAGGATACAAGGAAATTTAAGGATTCAAGAAACTTTATCTGTCATTCTCCACACCTTTTACAGCTTGTGGTACGAAATTAGTACCCAGGTCCGTTTCCAAGCCAAAATAACACAATACAATGCAACAGAAGAATATGTATAATGTACACTTATACATATTTTACACTTCAAGAATTTACTTGGACATGTCCAACCAGTGCAGATAAAATCTTGCATTAAAAAAACTTGCCAGCATCCTCATATCTTAAAATGAAAATAAACTCCTTCATCACAATCTAATAAAACATGCAGCATATTTTGGAATCTATGTGCATTAATTATAGAGCTCTATACCTTATTTGCACATCACATCTGCGCATACATTATACATAGGAATCCTTATCAGTTCCTGACATGTCAGGATATTTATGGTGACAAACTCATGACTCACATGGTAAAATCTCAGCATATACGGTATGACCCTGATGGAATCATGGGACTAAGAGACCTAGCATACTGCTTTTTTCTTACATACTGCACTGCAGGTGAGCTATGCACAGGGACACAATAGCCTGACCTTCAACCTTAAACATCACAGGTGGAGTCTGCAGTTAAGCTTGCTTTGTTGTGAGGTCATTGCTGATGAGTGAAATATGCTGTATATCCATAACATACAAATAAAAGAGGAACAAACAATGAGTTTGACCTTCGCTTTACATGAAATCCTTTTGATGTAACCATCTTGGCATGAATTTTGACAGCTACAATATAACACTAGACAACTTTGTCCCCTTTAGTTTTGAAGTCTTTTCTCCACCCTTGTCATAGTATGAGCTGTCTGCTAAAGTGATTGTGTGAATTCTACCAAGGCTTTAAATAGTGATTATTGTTGGGGCTTTAAATCACACAACACTAATGCATCTTCATTAATATGCTTATTTTGCATGCACATACTTTCTATGCAAATTGACTGTGAACTAGGTGTTAAAACAATTAGCGAGGAAGAATGTTAGCGTATAATCATGTTCTTGTAATATTCTCTTCTTGTCAAAGCAAGACTGTCTATAGTGCCGATAGCCTTTCGTGATGTAACTCGATCCCTATTTACTCTGATTACATTCATTATTACGCCAACATTACATCTTCAAGACTGGACATTTTCTTGTGCAGATATCTGCTTAATTTTTTTCCATAAAGTGGATGATCTTGTCACTGGAGACCAAGGTCAGAGCCCAGAGTCCAGCAAAGAGGGAACATGTTAAGTGAATGGTGAAGTGGTAGTATTTGATGGATGCTTCCTTTCACAAGTGCAGCACCTTAAGACCTCTCTCACTCGCACACTGTCTGCCATTTACTGGGGTGTGCTGCTCTTTTCATGAGCTGTGGGAGGGCTGCACATGGCATCAATCAAGAAAGCTCCGGTGAATTCAGTGATACGGCGGGGCATGACTTTTTTTCTCTTTAGGGTTTTGCTCACAGATAAATGTTTGTATTTTTTTCCTTTCAGGGCTCGGTTAAGGCTGTGGAGGCAGAGGGAAGCAATGCTGGCCTCTATAGGCAGCCGAGGAAACAGGAGTTGATGCCGCAGGAGGAGAAAAAACCGATCCGCTATTAAATAAAACAAATCTCTTCCTGTCTCTCTCGCTCTACGTGTGTTTAAGCTTGTATCTGTTTGAGTGTCAGCCTCTTTTCTTTGTTTGTGAACATGTCTGTGCGCGGCATCACTGGCACACGTCTGTTCTCTTTGTGGCTTTGTTTGTTAATGTCACTCAAGACAGCCAAATTGAAGGTGCCATTGTTAGTGCCGGAGGGCACCGGGAGTGAATACGACAGCTTGACAGCTCTCATTAGCGTATTAGACACAAACAGTGGCACAGATGCTCCCGGTCAGTCCTTGGTCAGCCTGGAGCCGTGCTGAACGGCTCGCTGACAGGTGGCTTTGTGGCACTCTGTCTAATGGTTGATGGGGTGGCAAAGCAGGAGCTCATCTTCAATAGACTGCTGGGATTACCAAGGACAGTAGATATTTCTCAGACATGTATACAAGGAGAGAATGAGCAAGTCAGTCCTTGTATTCTATACGAACAAGCGACGTACAGATACAGTATACATCATTTTATAAAGTTAGAGAAAAGAGAGGAGCACACACTCAGATGAACTTGGTGCTCATTGGACGTGATTAGAATAAGTTAGTGCAGTTGTATCAAACCCCAGAAGAGCAGACGACTGATGGTGCCAACAATTTTTATGGAGCAATGTTAGAGAACAATAAAGTACACTTTCAGTTTCTATTCACCCACAAAGCTTTAATATCGCACTCACAAAATGCACAAGCAGTCAAAGCGTTCTCAAAGTCAAATTTAGCTTTTTTTTACAGTAGCTATTGTCATTTGTTACAGCGCAAAGCTCAAAAGTTGGGTTCTCACTCCCACTCCCACTCCTCAGCAGCCAAAAAAAATCAATGCCAGAGGCACTAAAGTTCTGTTGAAGTGAATGAAAGTTAAATGATTTTTCCAACACACCTTTTGAAGTTTGTGCAATGCCTCAAAGGTAGAATAGAAAGGGGCTTACAAGTTATACAGCCAACGAGAAACCTCGCAAGCAAAGAGTTGGAGAAAAGATTTAATGCAGCCAAACAGTGAGAAAGACTGACCTTGTACTAAAAGTTACTTTCTTTTCTGACTTTTACTTTTTCTCAGAGTGTAACAAGTGTTCAAATAATTCTGAATGCATTTCTTCTAGAAAGTTAACATAACAGAAACCAATGGTATCTGTAGTAGAGCTGAAAAGGTTTGAACGGGGACAATTTGTGGCAGGTTGACAGCTTGTTTGGGGGAAGATGTCCAGGAAAAAGGATTTGAAATGTGCTTAAAACCAAGAGGGGATCTGTTTTTGAGGATAAAAAGAGGGAACTATTACACTTTTCATTATTTTACATAGAGTTTAATTTCAGAAGTTTGTATTAAATGTGAAAAATGTTTAATTTAAGATGTTATTTAATACCTTTAAACAGTTAGCAGTTGTCTTCTTGATTCACTGATATAAACACATCATGCAAAGGGTTAACTCCTGGCCAGGTTAAATTGGTGAAATTGTGCAGGTACTTAATGGACTATACAAATAATCAACAGAAGGGAGGTGTTATTGTTGTGTTAACTTGTTAATCAGTTTTAAAAGTAGAGTGGTATAATGGGGCAACTTGCAGTAAAATCCACTCGCTTTGTGAGACCGGCATCTTTCAGGGGGTAATTTCTTTGTTTCAGTGACATCCATCCTAAATAGAAATAAACACTGACCGATCAAACCCCAACTTCAAATGTAACAGACAAATGAATTAACCATGTATGTTCATTGTTAAGTTGTTCTGTACAATGCACAGTTTTAGAGTGTGTGTAATCTGACCTCCTGAGTTTTTTGACATGCTGTTTGTTTGTTTGTTTCGTTTAGTTGTCTGGGCATTAAAAACCAGAACCAGTGGGCTCTCGGCACATTTGAGATCCGATTTTATGATAACAAGTTGGAAACTGTGCTAGCATTTATGCTGATTGTTCCTCAACAAGTATAACAAATACTTTTACCAATTATATTTGGTTAAGGTGGCTGGGGGACTGGTTGGCCTGGCAGTTAAAGTGCATGCCCCATGTGCTGAGACTACAGCCTTCGTCGCTACAGCTTGGTCTGACTCCTTGCAACAACAATTCTTCATTGCATGTCACTCCCCCTCTCTATTTCCTACAGCTCCGGTCTCTCTTCAGCTGTCCTCGAAATGCCTCCTTAAAAGTATATTAAAAAGGTTGTTTGAGTAGGCAAGACCCATGTTTGGCAAAGCTGAACACACTGGTGCCCATTGCTGCCAATGGCCCTGGTTGGTTTCCAGGTGGGGGTGCCTCACAGACAGGAGCTAAAATTGGCTTTTTTTGGGTCAGAATAAATTGTAGTGTTGCATAAAAGGCCAGCACATTATTATTTGTTAATTTTAAATATGAATCATGCATGCAAATCCTCCTCTAATGAGTCAAAGAAATAAGAGATAGACATTAGCATAACAGAAGCATTTGATTGCTTTGGTGAAAGAAAATTGTATTTCTGCGATTTATTTAAAAGAAAAAACATAATTTGGTAAAAACTGAGCCAAAATAAGACAATATTATCTTTGGCGAGTGTGAATTTCAGGTTTGAAGAAAATAACTGTTATTATTCAGTCTGAGAAAATATATCTACTACTGTTTTTCAAATATTTGATAAAAGTCCTTTGTCATTCATTTTTGCTGCTGTGAAGCTGAACAAAATATCCTCTTTTTTCACCAAAAGTGAAACAGTCAATTAAATGCTGATAGGTGGCCAATAGTACCAAGCTGGTAGGAGTTTTTATCACACCTCATATAACCCTACAGAAAGACCTGATAAAAAGCTGGGCTTTAACCTCACTGGTGCATGTTGGTCTGGGGCAAAAAGGGGACACGCCAAATTTGTCATTTTTACCCCTGCTCTCTGGAATAATTCTCCATCTAATTTTCTTTCCAGTCCAGCAGATTTAATGTAAAATCTAATCATCAATGTCTGTTTTATTTCATGGGTTACGGCTGCTGCTGAAGAAAGAGGGGGAAGGGGAGGAAGCCTGTTCCTGACATACATGTGAACTAGCTTATCGGTGTGCTTAGGGGAACAGAACAGCAAGGTTGCAAGCTCAAATGTAGGAAGAAAAAGGAGGCTTGTTATTTAAGAGGTCTTACCCTGAATGTACAGTGTTATAGGTTAGTCCTCCCAGGGGGGCTTGGTCAGCAGGAACTCCACACCATTTCTCCTTAACTCACTTAAAGATTAATGTCAAATCATGCCAGTGAGTGTATGCCAGGAACCCTCAGGTGACTGAGCCAGAGGCTGCATCTGTGCTGTTAATGCCTGCATGCACGTGTGCCTTTGTGTTAACTGTATATATGTGCAGAAAACATGCACTGACTGAAACGCAAGGATTTATTGTTTCTGTAAGAAGGACAAAATAACATTCGACCTTACTGGAAAGGACATGACCAAGTATTTGTTGTATGTCAATACAGCTCTGTAGAGGAAAAAAAAAAGAAGAAATGTTAAATTAAGATACATTTTTTAACATTTCTTCTTTTACTTTTCACAAAAAATAGCTGCTAAAACCTGCTGGTCATCATATGTATATATTAAAAAGTAGAAAAAGACTTAATTAAAGGCCAAGTTTTGGGTAAGATCAAAAATAATGGCTAAGTCTAGGCATCTTTAGGGGAATTTTAAAGGCACAGATGAGGGAAATATTAAGGCTAAGTTAAAACTTAATTTGTGGACTACTTAAGGTGTAATTAAGGAGTCAAATAAAGGCTTGGTATCCACTTCATTTTTGGTGTAATAAAGGTTTTGTTAAGGCATAGTAAAGATTGTAGAAAGAAATCTTCAATTGTGTAATAAAAGCTCAGTAAGGTGGTTTTAGGGCTTATTTAAGACTCAGTTAAGAGCTTAGTACAGGCTCAGTTCAGGCATAGTTAAGAGTTCTTTTTTTTAAGGTTAAGGCTTTATTAAGGTTGTATTTAGGGCTAAGTTTAAGCTAAGGATGCTCTCAAGGTCTCATTAAGATACTAACAAAAGCTTAGCCAAAGGTATGATAAATGTTTCTTTAAGGCTTTGAAAAGGGCCATTTTAAGGCTTGCAATTAGTGTTAAGTTCAGCTAAGTTCAGGCTTATTTAAGGGGGAAAAGATGAGTTAAGATTGTAATAATTGTTTTGTTGAGGATTATATGAGGTACTAATAAAAGCTTAGTTAAGGATGTAATAAATGCTTACATTACACTTGGTTACAGACGATTTACGCTTGAATATCAGGTTGTTCCCAGAAATATGAACTCCAAAAAAAGTCCCACAGTCATGTTGCAGTTAAATATTTATCACATGTATCCACATCTTGATTTTAATGACTGTGAATCAAGTGACTGACAGTGTAACTATATACAGTAATTATGCACACAGCCGGCATTATTATTATGCACAGTCATGTTCATGTTTGATTAAAGGTTTGTTTACAGGCTGAGCCGGGGTTTCGCTGAATGCTAATTGGGAGACTTAAAGGGGAATGTGGGTTATTATTTAAGATGACAGCTTTGCGTATTCGTGTACACAGTATGTTTGCACTTCTCTTTTTGCAATAAAGGATCTAACATGGCTGTTGACGAAGCACTCTGGATGTTAAAAAGAGCTTTACGCATGAGCCAGGAGAGTCAATAATGATAAATTAAAAATGTCAACAAAAATAAAAAAAAGACTGGACCGACATGATGGGTTTTAGGATTGTGCGTCCAACCTTATTTGACAAGAAGTAACATCAATATTTATGGTAGAGTTCACTGACAATGTGGTGGACACAGGCGACAGGATTATTCTCAATCCGTCATTCCTCATTAACAGATTGTGCTGGCACTGAGTGCACAGACACCTGGCAGCAGCCCAGCTGTTGACTCTGCGTTGATGGATGTGGCAGCCATGACGAGGGGTAACCAGCTTGCCGCAGCTATCACTATCACAGCGTAACATATCAAAGCTTCTCTGGATGGTCAGAACAGACTCAGACACCAATGAAAAATGTGCTTTGTCTGGGACATGATTCTGCGCCAGCACTAAGCAAGGCAATCATATTGCAGGTATATCACACAATTTATAACAGGATTCGACGTCATTTCAGGGCAACATTTTGCTGCTGTTGTATTTAACATCAAAACTCGAAGTTTATATTTGTATAAAGAGAATACAACTTTTTATCCTCCTTAAACTCTAAGCAGTTTCTTAAGTTTTGGGAAAACTTAAAGCATCAAAGACCTTCTTCACTCGCTCCAAAATACTCAAAATAGAACTTATGAAAGTAGTCCCAAGGTAAACTTCAAAGAAGCGCAGGAACTCAAAGGATTTAATTTAGGGGAACAACTTTTGTCAGTGGCTCCACCGTGAATCATGTATTTCCCAGATCATTCAGAGCAGAGAACAATCCATTTTTCTTTCTGCATTCACTTTGTGTCTGCATTCAGAAAATGTTTCCAGGTCATCAGATGTAGAAAATGATGCCATGATTCATAAATAAAGATCAAATCAATAACCTGTGGCTAATTATTAGCATGATTGTGGAGGAAAATCCCATTTCTTTGTTTTGTTTTGTTGGTTATTACATTTCCATTGGTCCCAAACATCAGAAGTAATATTTGATAATGTGATTCTCCAAATTATGTTTGTCTCTAATGGCAAATTGCCAGTGTTAAAAAAACCAGTAAACAATATTAAAACTGTGACATTCTTAGAAAAAGAATGAAAAAGTTATCAGGAACATAGAGAATAATTGTGCTTTCATTTACAAACTGTTTATCCTGACCATTATCGGTAGAGATTGAAAGTTTATTAAGAAAACATTGCAGAAAATCATTTAGCAACTCAACATCTCAGACCAATGCTCATGCCCAGGATTTGATATGTGACAAAGCTTAAACACGATCAAAAGGGTTAATTAAATTCTTTTTATGACCTAGAAAATTACACATGAATACATGACAGAGTAGTTTTTTGTTACAAGGCAACATGATGTTCCAAACTAAATACAAAGAAAAGAAGACCGTGACTATCAGATAGACCTTTGCGCACTCAAAATAGAGTCCATATAGTCCTCAAAATGGAAATTTAATATTAAAATGTGTATTTATACAAATTCAAATTCAACAGTGTTTTGCAATATCTATGAATAATACAGTGAGTCAGTCCACACTTTCTAAAGGGACATGGTGTACAGCTCAGTTTGCACATGCCCACTATTGAAAAAAATGGCACTTGAGTAGGGAGGGTCACTCCATCAGTCCCTTTGTCTGCTCCACAGTTATTTCCATACCAGTGACACATTTGTGATGGAAGCTTCAGGGGCTATTTAAGTTTTAATAATAATAATAATAGTAATAATAATAATAATAATAATAATAATAATAATGATAATAATTGTTGTTATTATTATTATTATTATTATTATTATTATTATTATTGTTATTATTGTTATTATTATTATTATTATCATTGTGATTATTATTATTATTATTGTTATTATTATTATTATTACCCAGGTTAGATTCTAGGATGCATGCACCTTAAAGCAAACACACAAACCCTGGGGTTCCAGTAAAGGAAGGCCTAAAACAAACATAGATCTGGTTTATTTTCATTTTTTCCCAGGGTTACTGTATAACTTAGTATATATAATTATTTTATGATTAGTAATATGATCCTGAACACCGTATGTGGAAAATGAGCCCTCTCTCTCTCTCCCCCATGCTAAAAATCGTTTAATCCATGGTCACAATCAAAACTGCCAAGAGATGCTGGAACATCATGTTACCTCCAATAATAAAAATAAATTAATAAAAAAATATATGAAATATACACGTTTCCTCTTTAAGGAGTTGCATTTGATCGGTCACTAAGGCTACGTTCACACCGCGGGTTATGATGCACAATTCAGATTTTTTGTTAAATCCGATCTTTTAGTGCGGTCGTTCACATTACAACAACAAATGCGGCCTCTAATGTGAACGGAATGCATCCGTGAAGTGACCTGCATGCGCACAAAGCACAAATTGCGTTCGTGTTGTCAAAAAAATGGTGACGTTTGTCGCATATTGATGACGTATAAGTCGGATGAACGCAACCTGACCGTCCACACTGCAGTCACATCGGATACATATCCGATTTATATCCACATACAAAAGAGACCTGGGTCGGATTTGAGAAAATCAGAATTGCACTGTTCACACTTACATGAAAGAATCAGATATGTGTCACATATGGTTAAAAAATCGGAACTGACCTGCAGTGTGAACATAGTCTTACTCTGGTTCTTTCAGGAAGTTGAAGTACTATGTTTTTGTCTTTGAACTACATTTCCCAAACGACAGAGACTCATTTCCCATAAGCCTTTGCGTCGCTCCGCCGCTTACAGTTACAAGAAGGTCGCGCACAACTCCAGTTCACAGAGACAGGAAGAAGAAAAACAGACAGAAATCATGCTCGGACAAGCTGTAAGGCGATTCACGACGTCTGCTGTGCGTTCTTCACACTATGCTGAGGGACCCGGAAAGGTGAGACCCTCTCTTAAAAGCAGAATTATGGATCTAGATGAATTAGTTTGGATGCGGCCTTGTCTTAGCTGTAGCCTGACGCTAGCTAACGCTACTTGGAGGTCACGTCCGTCATTTGACAAGAGTGTAACTATAATGCTGCTAAGGTGGAGATACGTGCTAAAAATATGTCATGATAAACGTTTTATGATATCATATTAAGGACATACTCGTATCTACAAGTATTGTCCCGCTAATAGTCTGAAATGACGAAGTGTTGATTAGCCCCGTGGCTAAGCTAACAACCGGTTAACATTGAAGTGCTGATATATGAGGAAGCGACCAAACAAAACAAAAACAGGACAGAGAAACCTGATTATCACGGTGACATTTTCTGTGCTGAAGCTTATCTCCAGAAGAAAGTAGTAAAGTTGCTTACGTGAATGATATAGATTTATAAACTATTTGTCCTTCAATTTGTGTCTAAATAGCTTTAGATTAAGGTCACACACAGAGGCGCTGTGCTTTGGGGATCACTATAAGTTCACCAGCAGCTTCACCTGTTGCCAGAAGGAAAAAAGCTTTACTATTGTCCTTAACCGCCTATTTTCTTTTTTACTCTCCTGTACTTGATTCTAAAATATAGTACACTACAATGGATGCAGTCTAAATATTCCTGACATTGTCGACATGTTAATATGGAGTTTTGTCCAACACACTATAACAAAAAAGCAGTGATAGTGTACCTATATTAAGGTGAGCAACAGTTAAATAGAATGTATGATTTAGACCAAAACCCATAACCTCTGGGAACAAACTACAGTTTAGGATTACATTTGTACAGTGTATAAGAAGTTGAGGGGAAATGTAAAGTATTTACATCACATTTACAAACATTTTACTTTTAACCTCCAGCTAAATCTTGGTTACAGGATTAAACTAGAATACTGTTCTTGTGCCAGTAAACAAGTAAGAGGCAGGCAAGGCCATTTTATTGACGTTTGCCTGCCTCCACTAAAGAAGGTGGCGACATGCCCCCCTTACAGTTAGTTATCATTAGGCTGTCTCCAAGTTGGCCTACCACAGACAGTCTAAAAGCTTGTTTTTTATTTCCCTATTTCTTCTAGTTTGATCCCAAATAACTTCAAAACATAAAGAAATTCAACATAGTGCAAATCTAGTTGGACTAGTTTGTTAAGAAATATCTTCAAGTCCAGTTTCAGTCAAAATAACCCTGTAAATCGTTTTATTATGTCATATAAATGTACTGTATTTCCTCCTCATTAGGCTGTCTTCAAGTTGACCAACCACAGACAGTTTAAAAGCTTGTTTTTTTATTTCCCTATTTCTTCTAGTTTGATCCCAAATTTCTTCAAGACTTGTAGAAAGTCAACATGGTGCAAATCCAGTTTGACTAGTCTGTTAATACATAACTCAAAGCCCAGTTTCAGTCAGAAGAACACTGTAAATCGTTTTATTATGTCATAAATGTACTGTATTTCCTCCTCGTTTAATTTTATAAGTATTTTCTGAACTTTAAATGGAGTTTGTCCTTTTTAACAGGGTCATCCATATATGACACTTTATGCAATATATATATTTATGGATCATTAATTTCAGTGCTCAGGCATCAATTAATTAGTGCTGATAAAAGGTCACTGTCACCCTTTAGGAACAAATTTGTAAAAGAATCAAATGCGTATGTTATGACTTTCATGAATCATAATTTTCTCTGTTCCAAAACATTTTTTGTCTTTGTGCAGAATTTGCCCTTCTCTGTGGACAATAAGTGGCGTCTGCTGGGCATGATGGTGGTGTTCTTTGGCAGTGGCTTTGCATTCCCCTTCATCGTTGTCAGACATCAGATCCTGAAGAAGTAAATGGCCCAGTGCTACAAAGCAACCTTCGAGGTAATTATGATTGCTATGTGTATTTGACATATCTACTGTCATTAGAATGATAGCATAATGAGGTGTTTTATTCAAGTTTTGGTTTGAATAGTGACTTTTTAAACAATGCCGGACCTTTCCATCATTGTCCTTGTCCACAGCATCCAATCTATAAGAAAAAATACCTGCATGTCTGAGAGTGATGAGCACGAATGTCATGTCAGGTTTAAACTGATGCTGTGTCGTTTAGATAAGCCGACACTCGAGCAAACTAACGTGACAGCTTATTGCAGACTGTGATGTGTATCAGCAGGTCATACTTGTCACATTTTATCTCTGAGGTGTTTACTCAGAAATTGCTTTTCTGTCATCTGATTTATGCAAGTCATCTTATCACCTTTTGCCCCGTTTTCTTGCCCCCCCTCCCCTCTCTCTGTGCAGGTCGCCAGCTGGAGCATATTTATCCATCAGAGTTCTATCTGCTCAGAGAAATGGGAATCTCTTAATTTTTCTTTGTAAATAAAGTTTCCTCAATTATGAAGATTTCTGTTCCTTTTTTTGCAGCAATTAAATATACACATTATACAATACATGCACCATACAATGAAAACAGTGACATCATTATATATCATATATAAAAGCCTTTCTAGACTTAAAATGATATCTTTTTGGATTTCACAGCCTGAAAAGTTGCATGCAGATGTTAGTTTTTAGTTCTATATTTAAGGACAGCAGTGTGCCACATTTAATGTTTGTATAAATGATCACTTTTCAAACATTATTTAAATTACATAAGAATAACTTTATCAAGAATAAGAAAAAACTTAATTCATCCTCGAAGAAAAATTCATACATGAGGTGCAATGTGAAGCTGAGACGGATAACAGATGTAAAAGGTCGAGCTCTTAACTTTAGTTATTTTCTTATTATTAAAGAACAAATGTAGCTAAACAACCTGGATACTGTGGCCTATTTCCACACTTGTAGGAAGGAATACCAATCACAGCTTTTTAGTGGCCAATGCCAATACCAATCATGAAGAGCAGTTCGGCCAACAGTTGACAGATATTGCCAATATATCATGTTTTTTGTCAAAATGCCATCAACAGGCCAACTGATCAATCAGTCTATTTCTCATAACTATTTTGCTACCATTAAGTTTTAAGTAGAGAACTAAATAAAGCTCTTGAATGGGATAAAACTGGCCTTGTTTGCATCGAATGAAACACAGTTGTGTATTATTTAACCAGGCTACATGTTAACTGGTATTTTCTTTAGATAACAGCTGTATAAATCAGACTGCTAGTATGTAAAAAAAATCCAGCAGTTCATTGGTAAAATTAACATCTTAATGTCAGGAGGTGCCAGATGCACTAATAAAGATGTTACATGTATCTAAAAATGCAAAATCAATATCTGAAAATTTCCTTGAAGAAGACCCTTACTCATTTCCACTCATCTATATTTATACTCGTGGTTGTTTTATAAGCAAAATCAATTACTTAATGGGATTTATTGAACAGAGTGAGTCTATGAAGATGATTTTGTTACACCCTATATTAACCTGCCTTTTTGTCTTTTGTCAATCATATCCCTGTATAATATTTTATGATTGAAAGAAAAGGTGATGAATCTTTCTAAATTAATGAACATTATCCATAGACCTGAGACTTATCAGATGTTCCCATGGACAATGCCTTATTGCACAACAGGATTTGGCCTTGCATTTACTCTAACTGTAGTATAGCTCTAAAGATTTCACATAGGATTCCTGAAGTATGAACCCTTATGCTATAAAACAGCATGTTAGTCTCTTTTTGGCAGAAACTTGAAGTGAATGAATACGCTGGAAATTGAAAATGGGCCTGAGAGGACTTGTGTTGAAATATCCGGTCCTACTGCTCTTAAAGCCCTTCTGATATGTATTGTCCCCCTCTCTATAGCTCAGCTCTCTAGCTGAACTCTCCTGAATAACCCATTTCAGCTCAGTTAACCCTCTGCTTCTGGCTATAATTATCCAAGGACAATGTATTAAAAAGGGAAAGTGTGGCTGCTCAGTTCGGCAGGAAGACAAAATGTAAAAGTTGAGAGGTTTTTCCGTGCACCTCTACCTGACGCCTGGAGTCATTTTCAGAAATCAGCCAAAGTTAGTTTTTCATTTTTCCGTCTTTGTGTAGAAAAGAGGGACCTGGTGTAGCCTAAAGACATAAGCAGAGACATACAGGGACAGGCTGTGTGAGCTTAGGAAACAACTTGGCTGTACGCTCTTCTATAATTTTCACACATGCACAACTTGCAGCATCTTGTAAACCTGTCAGATGGTTGTGTGCCCTCCTGCATTCGTAATGAAGTTATACTTTGTTTGTGCCTCTAGGCATGCTGGATGGGAGATCATCCAGGTCAGGCAGCTCTTACTAGATGGTGATAAAGTTATCAGACGTTTAATAAGGTCAACAAGTGGGGGGCGATATTTCATAGGTGCACTTTATCGTAAAAGCGTAGAGTAGGATGCCCTTTATTAGAGCTCAAGGGCAGGAAGAAAGGTTTGCTCTGGTTGAAAACAAGGATCAACACATAAACATGACATTCTATATTATCACCGCACACGCAGAAACAGCATGTCAACAAATTGCAACATATATTTAACACAGCAACCCATTAACACCTGCATAAACAAAGGACATCACCAGCTCATAAGCCACCTTTCTCTGCTTAGACACACTTAGAGGTGATAATGCAGCCGAGTACAGAAAGTCAAGTGAAGTAAAGAGAAATGTGTTTGGAGGGCATTACGCATGTCACTGTCACTCTGCTCAATTATACCTCAAAAGCTTTTGAAGGCACAGACTCGGCCTGAAACAATAATCCTCTCTCAGAATGCTTCTTATCAGCATGTAGGATAATGAACCATCATATCAAACAGAGGCCTGCATTAGCTGATCTTCTTCAGTTCCTGACACGAGCCTTAAAGTCATTTTGAGTGCGTCTGAAATATCACTCCGAGGAAAAAAGCTGCTCTCAAGTGCCATTAAAGAAAAAATAAGCCTCACTGAAGTGATACTCCATCCAAAGTCTGTCGTTTGAGTATCCAACACGCGCTCCCATTGGCTTAAAGTTGGTTGTGAAAAGTTACCATCATCTTTCCACACATAAGATTATCAACTTAGGGCTGCTACAAAGTTGTGGGCAGTTATTTTTGCCCTCAGGAAGTATCGCCCAACATGTGAGTGTGGCTCCATGTCGTTACAGTGAACAAACTTCACTTGCAGGGTGACACAGAGTGGACAGAACTGCCAGAAGCTCGGTTTCCACTCACTTCTTCAGAAATCTCCTGCACTCACTGAGCTAATCTAGGAAGGCTTCCAAATTTGTGCAGAAATACATCCATAAAAAGGTCAATTTTTTTGACATTCAAAGACACTAGGTCTGAGAGGAGTGCTCTATTACCGGACATTGAAGAGAAAGTCCTATTTTTGGTCATGAACGTTTGATCCATCCTCTGTCATTATGCTGCTAACTGGGGCTTTTTAGAGTCCTAGTTGATGCCAGACTCCAGCAGTGAGAAGCAATTACACACAATAGTGTTATCTGGACAAGAACCAAGCTGCAGTGCGGTGCGGCGCAGGCGACTTATGAAAAGTGCATAAGGCCGAGCTGGCACAGGGCATGTTGCGGAAAAAGGTCCGACGGTGCCCACAATGGTCGACATCACACGTTTTAGACAGGCTTGCCGTATCCCCTCCGTGTGCCACTTTCAGCAGCTGCAGGGAGGGAGCAGAAAAAAGAATACATTACAGGGGGATTACGCAGCCGGCATGCCAAGTCTGTTGCAGGAGTTTGTCATGCTGAATTTACTATGTAAGTGTGAGGAGAAATGAAAAAGAGGGGATGCTATTGTGTGTGTGTGTGTGTCTGTGGTTTTTCCTGAGGTTTGCCAGATATGGTGCCTTCATTACAGCCAATACCTGGTAAATTTAATATCGTAATTGTCTTCCTGAATGCTTTACATTCCCTGGCGCACGGGCGCTAATTAAAACAAAGTATAGTCATTAAAGATCAATTTCATAGCAGCTTATCACTATTCAGCGATTGTTAAACATCACGCATGCTAATAAAATATACCCTCTGCACTGCACAGTAACAAGGTAAAAAGCCTTCCCCATTTTTATGCAGCAGCGGCTCAGTTACAGCATTTTGTTTCCCCTTTCATCCAACAAACTACTATGATTTTATATGTTCTCCAAGATATGCAAATCATCTTGTTTGCAGTATCTGTGGCCATTCATTCCAGCCTCTGTAGACGGTTCAATAATAGACTTTTCTGCATCTCACGTGTGGAATCTAATTATAGGCTCATTTGCACTTCAGAGGAGAAGATAGTGGGCTTAGCTTGGTGTAAAGCACGCACAGCCACCTAATAAAAAGACTCAACATTTTATTGAATCCCCTCAGTTAGAGGCACATTTCACACCCAGCCATGCTATTATAGTCAAACAATTATAACTGTTTGCTGTTGTAAGCAGATTCATTAGTGATTGACAGTTATACAAACATTTACTTACTGTGAATGAGAGTGGGTGCCTGACAAACACTCCACAGACTAAATTACCCCTCTGGGTGACTTGGATGAGCTCTAATCAGCACTTTGTTGTAAACATCTTGCACAGCAGCATTTCATTGTACCAGCCAATCAATATAATACATCCCAAACTGGGAGGGGGGGGGACTCTGGATGTGGCCCACCCTTCATATGAGCATGATGACAATAATAATAGGTGAAAGCAGCTGTCTCCAGCCGCTGAACGAACCCCTTGACACAGCACTGTCAGTCAATAAAGTTTCAAGGACACACTGAACTCCTGAGGTTCTCTCTCTTTTTTTTCTTCCCCCCGCTAAGCCCATCCTCTCTTCCCTCAGCGTCTCTGTTTACCACACTGTGCCTCAAAGATGCTGACTTGTGGAGAAGCGCGGAACTGTCAGTGTAGAAAGAT